TACACCAGGCTTATTTGTCAGGGCTTGGTGTTGTCGTAATTATTACATGCTTACAAGGTTGGAAGTTCAACAAATCAGTCAATATACTGTGATTGTAGTTGTTCAATAAAAATGTCATTCATATCAATTCATGCATCACCTAATTTCATCGTAACATATAGGCCTGGCCTACAGAAAAGAACATTTATGTTTAATCTATCTAATAGTGTGTTGGTCATACTATACAATGATTTATAGCTCGTCTTTGATGAATAATACAGAACATAAAGAGCTTTAAAAAATAATTGCATATTAAATCGCAATCGCAATATTGGTAAAAATTTTTTTTTTAAAAATCGCAATTAGATTATTTTCCAAAATCGTTCAGCCCTACTTAAAACACTTTAATGTTTAAAGTGACAAGGCTTAAAACGTGTGAGAATGATAAAAGGTTCTTGAGGAAGCAGCACTAGCCCAATCATTCAGATTGATGTGATTAGTTAAACACTGGAGCGTCCCGTTAACAGCAGGTAAGCATATTGTATTCACAGGTGAACAGAAAATATCTTACATACCACTGCTGGTGAATGAGCCAGTGTAATGCATATGTCTGAAAGGTCTGACATATGCCAATAGCGCGAGGATATCGACACGTTCACGCGAGACCAGACGGATCTCATCATACCCCTATAAACTAGTGCTGTCAAACGATCAAATCGCATCCAAAATAAAAGTTTGTTTTCATGTGTGTGTATTTATATATGCATAATAAATATACAGTACACACACATGAAAACAAACTTTTATTTTGGATGCGATTAATCGTTTAACAGCACTATAATAAACAGATTATACACTTAATGACCTCTTCACAGATTCAATAAACAATGGTAGCTTGTTAGTAACAAAATTATAATTCTTTTGAAATTATTTAATTCTTAAAGATGTTACGTATTACTAAAAGTGCTACTTCTACATTTCCTAGATCAGTTTCCCAACCTGTGGGTCACAAACCCCAAAGTAGTTTTCATACAGGTCGTCAAGCCAAAGATTTAAGAGAAAGGAACAATTGAAATCGCATCATATGACCCCTTTAAATAAAAATTGAATAGAAATTCTACAAAATTAATTGAGTCATGCATTAAATGGTCAAATAAAAGATGAGAACCCTTTTCAAGTTTCTCTCAATTACAGTATATGATTAAACAATGACATTGTTTTACCTACATTGCATTTTTCTAATAATATTCTTCCCCTTCAATTTCTGGGCAACAGGTTTTCCTCAGAAAATACAGAGACACTCCCAGATCCTAGAAATTGTGCCGACACCTGTTACCCGCTCTGTTGACTCACCACATGTCTTCATTATTCACCTCATCATGAGACCAACCAGTTTCATTCCAGTTAGCTCCACAGTAACGGCTTATTAACTATGAGCAAATAAAAATGGTTGGTTAAATGGTTAAATGGTAAAATAAAATGGTTACTCATATTTTATTCTTGTTTTAAAATATTAGCTAAAAATATATAATTCTTGCTTCATCTGAATTAAGGTGTCGATTAGTGTAGTAGATACACCCCTGATAGCACACATACATCTTGGAGACGTCTATTTGATGTGCATGTTTTCATCTGGAAGATGTACAATTTATGGGGGCAAACATGACAGTTTTTTTTAAAGTTAAGTAGGGATGTAACGATTCACTCAACTCACGATTCGATTCACGATTCGATATGCTCACGTTTTTTTAACAAATTGAGATTGAAGACATTATACAGTAAATGAAAAGGTGTCGTTTTATTAGGCTATTGCTGCAAGTTTCTTCGTGAAATTGAAATAAAACTAAATTGAAATTTACCCCAAATCAAACAAGATACACAAATAAAAGAAATCTCTTAATATGAACAAACTAAGGCTTTGTCTGTGCTCTTTCCATTTAAAATTAGAGGCAACCACTGGATTTTAATCATGATCCAAACAAAGATGCAGCATACATGCAGCATGAGTAGTTTTTAATGTAAATTAGACTGCATAATTTCCAAATTTGAAGCAAAAACAGAATGGTCTGACTTTAGTATTTTTAAAAAAATACTACATAAAAACATCTGAACGAAACAGCAGACGAGCTGCAGATTCACTCTCTGACAGAAGGTGGCGCTTATGAACAGCAATGATACAGTGTTTCCTGGGTTACCGCTGTAAACAAAGCAGAGCTGCGCTTATGAACACTACTTTAATATGCATTGTTCAGAGGCAAGATGAAAATAAAAAATACCACGTAAACTGATCTAAAGATAGTCAGTTCCCCTCAGAGATACATTTATATAAACTCCTACTCCAATTGTATCGCGATTTGTTTGGCATCTCAACCGATTTGAATCGTCACATATTTGAATCGATTTTCGACCGGCTCGCAGTTAATCATTACATCCCTACTGTTAAGTGTTTTTTTATAGGTCACTGTTTTATAAGTGACAACGCGTGTTTCTTGGGTGAAAAACTTTTATAGTGTTTTGGAAGAATGAGCTGATTTGAGACATGTATGAAGTGTTTTGGTAGTTTTAGTGAATTTTGAATGTAAAATTAACTGCTGTGCTAAGATGAAAGTTTGTTATGAAAGCTGAGTGAAGTGTTTTAAGTATTGAGAAATGTGTTCCTAGCAATTGTTAATAACTGAAGCAAACAGGGCTTATGTACCAAGTGAGCTGTATGGCCCTTTGAAGTTCCATTTAAAAAAAACAAAAAAAAAACACATCTATTCTGATATACAGCTGATAAGGAAACAAACCACAAACACTGGCACATTAATAAAGCGGCTCTGTTCGTGTACTCACCACCTGCGTTTGGTTCTGGGTCTGTCTCTGT